TCCGTTGCTCTTGATGCAAGCATTGGGTTACTATCCTACTTTCAATCAACTTTGATCTCTGCCATACTGATCGGGATCCTGTACCCTCTCCCCTTCTTGTTCCTTTTAATAAACCAGAACAAAACATTTTGGAGGAGTCCCTTTTACTTTGCTTACACCCACTGTGACCTTCTTGCTGAAGTCAGCCTGATCCAGCATTTGCCATTTCTCCAGAAATCAAAAAAAGTAGGGGGAAAACTCCACATATCTTTTTTGGATTCCCTCCCCCCCCCTTATTTCCCCATTAATGCCTGAGAAGTGGGATCTCCCATTTGCCTATGAAATGCTGACTTTCCTGAATTCCTTTTGCCTTAAAACATGAGATGCAAAAGCCTGCAGGGCACCTGATGGATTAGCTGGGGAGTTGGAGATTAATAGAGCATTACACAGGCTCCCCCTCCTGCTTGGCTTCTTTTTCTTTCTTTCTTTTTTCTGCTTCGAGCTGTGTATTTTGGAAAGGGCCAGGAAGCGATAATGTTGGAAGCGGACTGTAATGTAATAAAAATGTAATAAAGCTAGCCAGCTCAGAGGGAAGTTACGACGGGCTTGGAGTCTGTACAGAGCCGGCCCCTCGGTTAGTCAGAGTGCAGCAGCTGCCTCAAGCAGCAGAGTTTTAGGTGGTATGGAAATGCAAGAAAATTTTCCTTCTTCACTTAGCCAGAATCCTCTGGTGTAGTTATGCCACCAAAGGGAAATGATTTAACTCACAGCAACAAGTCGCCATTAATTAACAAATCCTTGCTTTGATTCTTGGCCATATGCCCGACTGGTTCACTGTGAAGGATCCCAGCAGGAACTTGTCACTTTGTGGCTGTTTGCCATTTTGAGGTGTGCAGTTTTCTTTCTGCTGGTATAAATATGCAAGAGGATTTTGGCTATTCCAGACTTACTCCCAGGAATGGAACAGAGGTACCTGTGTGGTTCTGCATCGGATGGCAAAATAATATTTGCTGAGTTTTAAGTACAGTGGTGCCCCGCATGACGATGTTAATTCGTTCCACAAAAATCGCTGATTTGCGAAAACATCATTTTGTGAAATGCGGATCCCCATTGGAATGCACTGAAATCCATTTAATGCGTTCCAATGGGGAAAAACTGTCGTCGTTTTGTGAAAATCACCCATAGGAAAACCATTTTGCGAAGCGCAGATCAGCTGTCAAAATTGCTGTCTTGCGAAAAACGCTCCTGAAAACACCTGTTTTGCGAGTCGCAGACCTAGCTGTCAAAATCGTCATCTTGCAAAAAATGGTCCTGGAAAAAAAAAAACCCATCTTGCGAAGCACGGACTGAAACATCGTCCAGCGAAAGATCACCCATAGGAAACACCGTTTTGCAAAGCACTATAAAAATCGCAAAAACTCATCATCTAGTGAATAAACCATTTTGCGAGATAATCGTCTAGCGGGGCACCACTTTACAGTAGGATCACCGTATATGCGGGATCAGTATCCACAATTTCACTTATCCGCTGGCTGAATATATTAGATAAAACTACCCAGAAATATGCCTTTTCAAGGTATTTTACCAGAACTAGGGAACCAGAGACTATGCTATATATAGCATTTCTGTACTCACACTTTTTGGCATTGATGCAGGGTGGGGGCTTGGAACTCATCCCCCACAGATAAGGTGGTCCTACTGTAATCTCAGAATGTGAAACATTATATTTTAAAGAAAGAACCCACTGTATGACTCATTATTTGTGGCAGAAGGCTGCCATTATAATAGTTGTAGTGCTGGTTATCAATAACCCAATTCTAGTGGCCAATTCTGATATTAATATAAATAAATAAATATTGTACCTTGAACCTCTTTACTGAAGTGCAAGAGATGGAATGAAATAATGTATCCCTTGCCACGCAGGGTTGATAAGAGAAGGGCATCGAACCTGAAACATTGTTGTCAAAATGCATCTACAGGGTCTAAACTAAAAAGTAACTATGGAAAGTAACTAGAGGATAGCCGTCATTACATCAAAAAGGTAACTTTGTATCCACTGCTGTAACCCAAATGTAACTGGTTGCAGGTAGCTACAGTACGTGTATAGCAGCAACAACAACAACTCCAGAGCCAGAGGTTGGGAGTTTGATTCCCTTCTGTGCCTCCTTGGCAGGGGCTGGACTCAAGGCAGAGAGGGTCCCTTCCAGCTCAGCAGTTTTAAAGTTATTATTATTAACTGCTGGGCCTTCTTAACATTGTGTGGTCAGTGTGTCAGTTAGAACAGAGGGCAAGCAGTGGAGGCCATGGGTTACGTGTGCCCACCAGTTCCTTTTGTGTAGCCTGCCCGAGCCCCCCCCCAAAAGCCAAACAGCTGTGCTCCAGAAACCGTCCAGAAAGCACTGCCCTCCGATTGACTCTTGGTTCCCTGACTCAAATGGCACTGAAAACGACAATCCACTGGCCTGGCCTGAAGAGATCCCCAATTCAACATCTTTCTGTCTCTCTTCATCTCTCAAAGTAATCTGCTCTAGAACAGTGGTCTTTTTTGGTGGGAGGTGGGAAGAGACGTTTCACGAGCGATCCATAGCAGCATCAGGGAACTATAGTTCCCAGCGGAACGTGGCTGAGCAACACGACCATTCGTAATGGGATGCGTGGGTAACCTAGCCATCCATCTTCCCCATTTTCCAACTGGCATAAACACTCAGAGGGAGGCTTTGGTAGGATAGAGCACTGTGTGGTCCTTGTTGGATTTTTTATGCAAAAGTTGTGTCTTAGGAAGGAAGTTTTCTTTGGAGAGAAGTGCCTTCGAAATCCTGTCCTTTTACTCCACATTTTTCATGGCTGACTCCAGGGGCTGTGTAAACCTTTTAAGAGGACCGAGGGAAGAGGCAAGTAAAACATAATGAAAAAAAAAAAACACAGGGATGAGAAGGTGGTTCTTTTGTCAAGAGACCTACAACTCCTGAGAAAGAAGGTTTAAGACTTTGGGCTGCTATTGCTGATATTGGCCTCCCATTTCAAAAAAACGTGGAGGGCAAATAGACCCACTGACTTTTACCATGGAAGCCCATAAAATAAACATACTCCTCATGCATTTTGCATCTCTAGGTTTGCAGAAAAAAAAACCCCAACCTTCTAGATACGTTGTAAGGGGCCTTATTCAGAAGAAGGTATCAACTGGGGTTAGGGTATGACTAGACTGTGGGAAAAATGTGAATATATCCAGTGTTTAAACACACTCAGAATGTTGGGTTGCTCTGGGTGACTTAGCTTCAGCCAACCACAGAGGAATCAGCAGGAAGAGGGGAGGAAATCAGCCTTGTTTGCAGCTTGTTCATGGTTGAATCCTCTCCTCCCCACACCTGGTGCCTGGGTCTGCTGCGGTTGATATGTTGTGATGACTGATGATTTTAAGCAATAAAACTTGATCACTGCCTGAGTCTGCTTGTTTCCCTCTTCCCTTACTGTTCCTTCCTTTTCTTTATTTCTTTTAAAGGCTTGCTGACTAGTCATTAGGACAACTAGGTGACCAAGGAGGTTGGGGAGCAAGGAATCAGCAGATAAACAGTTTTTAATTAGCCTTTCCCCTTGGCTCCCTCCAGATTAAGGTAGCTCTGCTCTGTGTGTCCAGATTGGCAGGAGGCACAGGTAGAGCAGAGCTGTCTTAAAACGTCCCCCTCTCTCACTGCTGATTTCATTACCGTTTTAAAAAAATTATTTGCTTGACTAGCTGCCTTAGTGCTAGATTAGCAAGCCTTTGGAAGGAAGGGAAGGGAGATCCAAGCTCCAGACATGGGGAGGAAAGAATTTAAAAGGCAGTCGAGGTTCCCTGCTGCTCTGCCTCTCTCATGTCTGCAAACCCATCTACATTGGCTCAAGTGATCCCACCATCCAGCCTAAAACAGAGGCATTCAAGTCCAAAAAAAGTAGAAGCCCCATTGGCAGAGGGGAAACTATGCATTAGGAGGGGGAAACCTCTAGGCTGATTCACGTGGACTTTTGCATCAGTGGTTCCCAAACTTTTTCAAGTCACGGATCTCTTGACTCCTTCCTGGAGCCTTCCCGGCACAAGAAGGGTGTTGCCACCACCACCATCACCACCACTGCTTCTGCATAAGTGGACATCTCAGGACAGGGGTGTGGCTCACCCTGTGGTCTGTGCCTGGATACAGGCATGGTGTTAGGCGCAATCCTGGTTGGCATTCCAGGAGACTTGCCAGCCAAGGAGAGGGAGGTGGTGGCAAAGGATGAGAGGATTCTGTGGTGCCCCTGTCTGGGTTTGGTGGCACCTCGGGTTGCTGCAGCGCACAGTTTAGGAACCACTGTTTTACATAATGTGGTCAGTGGGAAATAATGCAACATCTCAATGCAGTTCCTGCAATATTGGTCAATGTTCTCATACCGTTAGTTTATTTCAGCCTTCAGCCTTGGTAACGCTTTTTAGAGCAGGACGGTCCTTGAGATCTCAGACCCACATGGCAGTGCATCACAGCTTATGAACTCAACCGAGAAGGCTGGTTGGTCCTCCCACTGTTTGGATTGCAGTGGATAGATCTGAGCCAAGAAAACTTACAGATTTTGGTTATTCTTCCCAGAATCCTCCAGCCAGCATGGGTGGTACAGAGTCAGGGCAGACAAAGATAGCAGATTTTGTGTGGGAACTCTCAGTCCTACCCGTTTCCTCGCAAAGTGCCAGCCGTGGAAATGGAGTAGTCTTGGCCTCTTTGAATGAGTATTAGCTGCAGCAGGTTGGATGTAGCCCAGGGGTAGATCCTGTGTCTTGCATGCAGAAATCCTAGGTTTGAGCGCTGAGATTTCTAGACAGTCTAGGGGAGAATTCTCCCTGAAATGCTGGTGAGTCAATGTTCTGAGTTCGGTATATGGCAGCTTCTTCCATTCCTGAGGAAGGAAGGACTGCTGATCCAGTTCAATCCCTGTGACTTCCCTTCAAAAATGACTTTGTCCCAGATGATCAGCCTGTTTTCCTCACCCTGTGTTCTGCTCTGTCCTGTTCCCAGGTGTCGCTGTGTGTCCTCCGTGTGACAACGAAATGAAGTCAGACGCCATCCTGGAGCACCTGTGTGCCAGTGAGTTTGGTAAGGAAAACATCCATTTCACTCCTCACGAACTGCTGGATAGCTCAGTGGACTATATGTCTGACTGTGGAGCCAGAGGTTTGGGAGTTCGATTCCCCCATGGTGCCTCCTTGACACGGGCTGGACTTGATGATCTATAAGGTCCCCTCCAGCTCTGTAGGTTGGAGGTTGGTTCATCTAAACATGGAGGGGTCTTCCGTGGGGAATAACCAAATCATCCTCTTGAATGCTAAAGATGTGAAATAAAGCTGGTGTTGCTTATCTGTAAGAGCTTCACACCCATGGAGCCCACATATTTTGGCGGTCAAAAGTCATCAAGTGCATTAGAATTCCTTCAAATCTCCTTCACGGGAGTTTGATTCCCCCATGGTGCCCCCTTGACAGAGGCTGGACTTTATGATCTGCAGGGTCCCTTCCAGTTCTGTACATTGGAGGTTGGTTAGTCTAAACATGGAAGAGTCTTTTGTGGGGAATAACCAAACCATCCTCTTGAATGCTAAAGATGTGAAATAAAGCTGGTGTTGCTTATCTGTAAGAGCTTCACACCCATGGAGCCCACACATTTTGGCGGTCAAAAGTCATCAAGTGCATTAGAATTCCTTCAAATCTCCTTCACTGTTTGTCAGCTCCTAAGACGTCTTTGCGATGCCAGCTCATTCAAGAACCTACCGTTTCCATGAAGCCTTTAGCGTTATTTATTTATCTAATTATTATTTATTTTATTTAAACAATTTTTTACCCTGCCTTTCTCCTTAAACATGACACCAGCTCGTTCAAGAACCTACCCTTTCCATGAAGCCTTTAGCATTATTTATTTATGTAATTATTATTTATTTTATTTAAACTAATTTTTTACCCTGCCTTTCTCCTTAAACAGAATGGTTAACTCATTAAAAGACAACATTTAAAAGCTACGAATAGTACATGTACAAATCTCTAACAAGAATTCAACGACGACCACACGAAAAATGGTAACCAAAACCAACATTAAAAACAGATTCAAAGCAAAAAGGCAAAACTTTCTCTTTAAAAATTCCTCTCAGACAGCCAGTTGCTAAGGGAAAACCCCTCTGAAGAGAAAGGTCTTCGCTCACGGAAGGGCAACAAAGAGGGGGCCCAGCTGGGCCTCCAGTGGGAGGGAGTTCCAAAGTCTGGGAGCAGCCACAGAGAAGGCCCTGAAACTGAGACCCCATGCCCAGTGGCAGGGATGGGCAATGGGGTGAATCAGGATTTGCTTGAGAGGTCTCAAGATAAATTTACATGAGATGGGCCAAAGTTTCAAACTAGATTCCTCTAATGAAGGAGGAGGAAATGCACCCATCCAGCCGTACACACACATTAAGAAATGTGCTATAGCAGGTCTTTTCAATCTTTTATCTCTCCCCCCCCTTCTCCCTGATGTTTAGGATTTGAGACCCCAGAAGCCTTAACCAGCTCAGCCAGTGCTCAGACATACTGGGAGTTGAGTGTCTGGAGAGCCCGAAATTCAGGCTGGATAATGGATGATGATGCTGGCAACAGAGACCAAGCCATTTTATTGGCTCTGGAGAAGAACATAAGGTTCAGGCTTTCTGATGGTGGTTGTGGGTTTTTTCCGGCTCTTTGGCCGTGTTTTGAAGGTTGTTCTTCCTAACGTTTCGCCAGTCTCTGTTAGCCAGCATCTTCAGAGGACAGGAGTCAGAACTCTGTCTGTGCTCTGGTGACTTCAGAACACAGCCAAACAGGCTGGAAAACCCACAACAACCATCAGATCCTGGCCGTGCAAACCTTCGAGAATACATCCAGGCTTTCTGTTTCAAAATTGGGGAAGGTTGCTCCCCCTGGAAACTATTCCGAAAAGTAAGAGCATTGCGAACAGCTTCTAGTCAGGCTTGCTTTGTTGTCTGGTGAGTTGGCAAAGGTTCTTCCAGAGAAAGATGAAATATTTTTCCTTCCCTTGAGTTTTGCTCTACGTCTCCCTCAGGGAAGGAGCTCCATACTTGAGGTGGAGAGTTGGGTTGAAGTGTAGCCGTGGTTAACCCGCCCAGGAAGCCCAAATAGGCCAAGGGTAATTCTGGTATTTCATTAGCCCAAATTTACTTGAAACAGATGATGTTTGTGCCCCTTTTGGCAAATATAACTTTCCTGAAAGGATATTAAAAAAAACTATTGAGCAAGGTGTGCATTCCGCTGGAGTTAGCAGATGGGCGAGCCATTTTTGGTTGAGGCATGGAATGAGATTTTCCTCTTGTTCAACAGATTCTTGACTCTCCCACAGAATCACTTTGCCAAATGCATCCAAGACTGGAGTGACTATTTGGAACCAAGGATATTATATAAACAGCCATTCCTGAATCCTGGCTTCTCCAGAACATTCTTGGTCCAGTCAGGCTGGAGAAACAGATGGAGACAGTGGTAGCCAAGCGTTGTGTTCAAAATGGCAGCCTGCTTCCTGTGCGGGCGAGGCTACAGCTGAAGGAAATATTGGGAAATACTTAAGATTTACAAAATGGCCGTTGTCTTCTGTTGAATGTCAGCTGTGGGTTTTTTTTTTCTATCCAGAACCTGAATCTGCATTTCAATATGAAACCTTTCCTCCCACTAGGGAACATATGACTATTAATACATTCACTGATTCCTAAAGGCATGTCTATTTGTAAATGTCATGTCAACTGTAAACTACTAACGTATTTCAAGATGGTCCATATTTTGCAAGCATTTGGATCTTCAGGAGTCTTTCTACAGGGAGAAAGGTGGAAATTAATGGGAAAAGTGACTTTGCCTTAAATATGTATCTAAATATGCATGTTTGGAAAATCAGCCTGAATTCTATTGTGGATTTTTGCAGAAGAGTAATGGCATTGATTGTGCCAGGGGTTTGTCACTAATTAATGAGTTGCTACACACAGAAAAAAAAACTCTTGTGTCAGAAATCACATGTTTGCAGATAACTCACAAATGGGGACATGGGAGAGGGCTTTCTTTGTTGCTGCTCCCAGACTGTGGAACTCCCTCCCACTGGAGGCCAGGCTGGTCCCATCTTCGCTGTCCTTCCGCAAGTAGGCAAAGACCTTTCTCTGCAAACAGGTTTTTCTGAGTGACTAACAGTCTGAGATGGGTTTTTCACACTGGACTGTTGTGCTCTGTTTGCTTTTAAATGTGTTTTTAGTATTGATTTTGTCTTCCATTTTAAAAAAATATACTTGTTTAATTATTTTTTAATATTTGTATATTTACTGTTTTTAGCTTTAAACTATTGTCCTTTTAATGATGTAAGCCACCTTGGATCTTTTTAAGGCATGGTAAACATAAGTAAGTAAGTAAGTACATAAGCAAGCAAGCAAGCAAGCAAGTAAGTGCCTTCTTTTAGAAAAGAAGCTGATCCACAACTGGAGGTGTCTTTTCTGCCACCCAGGCAGAACTTGGAGAAGTGACTTCTTGGGACTACAGCATCCAGAATCCCCGGCTGTGCTGGTTTATCTAGACTTTGGATGCTGCGATATAGAAAGTTGAAACTCTTACACACCTCATCTCATTTGGCCCGAAGGCGACGTCTTGGATCACCAGCCGCACCAGTGTTGCTTCCCACCAGCCTCCTCATGAGTTGCGGCCAAATTATTATTGTGGTGGGCAGATCCAGGCAACGCTCCCTCTGTTGTCTTCTGCTCCTTAATTGCCCTTGGCTGTGTCCTCTTCCAGACAGGGCTGTGAGGAGTAACTTGGCAATTCTGCCTCTTGTTTTCCTTTTGATAACTGCAGTTGATTTTTGGAGAAGGGAAGCCAAAGACCCCCGCCGAGCCTGTGCATCAGACAATCGGCTTTTCCTTCCCTGCTGGGTTTTTCTCTCTGGCTTTGGCCAGGAGTCCCAGCTAGCCTGAGCAGCGTGGCTTTGCCAGGAACCCAGCGTGCGATTGCAAAATCCGGAAATGCTTGTTTAATTAACTTAAGGTCTCTGAAGATTGCTAGCTTGTAATCCTTGGATGGAGTTGCCAGATCCAAGATCATAAGGCAGTTAATTTGCAGGTCATGGCGTCTTTTGTTCATGTATCCCAAACTTCTCACTAAGAAGGACACACACTTTTTTATTTTGCTTTCTCCCATTAAAATTAGAAGCACATTTTTTTTCTTCCAGTGCTTCCAGAAGTTTTTTTTTTAAAGAATGTGTTAAGAGTGAATGTTGTCCCCTTTCTGAGGGGGTCATTAATTGCTGTGATTTCGCACGATCAAACCCTTTTGATCCAAAGAACCTTGTGTTTTGTGCTTCTAAGGGGCCTCTGACTTAAAGCAAGCTAAATAGTGTTTTCAAGGTTTGTGACATAGTTAAGGAGTGGTTTGACCAGTTCCACACACACAACTCCACTTTTTGTGACTTTCTGTGGTGAACAGAGATTCGAACCCTCAGCTTCTGAGTCCTAGCTCATCGCTCACTCTACCTATTACACAAGAACTGGGCATGTTTAACCTTGAGAAAGGAAGATTGAAGGGGAAAAGGATAGGACTTTTCAAACCCTTGAAATATAGTCATACAGCGGAGGGGCAGGATCTGTTCTCCGTCATCCCCAAGTGCAGGACATGCAACAATGGGCTCAAGTTACAGGAAGCCAGATTTTGGTTGAATATCAACTCATTCTACCTATTACACAGGAACTGGGCATGTTTAACCTTGAGAAAGGAAGATTGAAGGGGAAAAGGATAGGACTTTTCAAACCCTTGAAATATAGTCATACAGCGGAGGGGCAGGATCTGTTCTCCGTCATCCCCAAGTGCAGGACATGCAACAATGGGCTCAAGTTACAGGAAGCCAGATTTTGGTTGAATATCAGGAAAAACTTCCTAACTGTTAGAGCAGTACGATGGTGGAACCCATGACCTCAGGAGGTGGTGACAGTTCCAGCGTGGGAGGCATTCAAGAAAAAATTGGACCACCTTTTGACAATTGTGTTTTGAATTATATTCCTGCATTGAGAAGGGGGTTGGGCTCAATGGCTTTATAGGCCCCTTCCAACTGCATGATTCTGTGT